ATATAACAACCAACAATATTATAAATAAATAACACAATACACCTGTATATTATATTCCGCCAATATTAGCAGGTGTACATGTACATGTATATGTATAGGATAGGAGCAGTTAGTGTGTGGTTAGTGTCTAATCATTGGGTTACTATATTACACTAGGTCTATATGTTAATGCTGGGGAATAGAATTTAGTTCAACTGGAGCATAAAGCATGAGTCTAAAGGTCAAACCGCCCACACATTTGATTAAAAATTGACGTTACACTGACCTATTGTAGTATCCTCCTTAAGTAATGTACTGATACATGTGTGTGTATTATTAATTATATTGAGTTGTTGGTTAATGTGTTATTAATAGATATTTAAAGAGCTAAAGGAGAGTGGATATGGACCAGTGACAGTATTCTATTGTGGGTCACCAGTACTGGCTAGAGTATTATCAGTGAAGTCTCAATATTATGGATTTAAATTTAGAAAAGAAAACTTTTAGACATTAACAATAATAATGTACTACATGTATATACACTGATGGACACTCTAATTATAATACTGATGTGTTGTTAAGTAATAGTCATTGTGTATGGAATGATCCAATTCAGTGAGTACAATAACATTATTCATGATTATTGATGATGCACTAGTGATACTTCTCATGACACCTCAATTAATGATTACCTCAAATCTCTACTGTAATCAGGAGGTGTGACTAATTAGGTTTGTGGGTGGGGCTTGTGTTGTTTATGAGCCACGCCCTCTTTGCAACTGCAGCATAATTGGCTTGTACCTCTGGCTTGTACTTTTGATTGTATCTTTTCATTTCTTTATCTTACAACAGTTGATCATTAACAGTGATAGAGGTAAGTATATTATAGTTCATTTTAATTATACTTTACTAATAATTACAAGATGATTGATGTCTCTCAATGGAGAGCAAGTATTGGACTGTGGAACTACTGTCAAGCTGCCTCCAGTAGACCAGCTAATGGCCGCCACTCTCACTCATTCAAAGCTGCAGTAGACAGCAAGTCAGGCAGTACTACATCAGGAGAGAAGACATCTAAACTGCCAGCAGCCCTGTCTCTTATTGTTTCTCTTCTTTTATCTTTATTAAGATATATGAAGCTCAATTTTATTCCTCCAACTGGTAAACAAACTAACAGTATATAATATTATCATACAGTGTATTTACAATAGGTATAATTACTGTTACTGTTATGATCCACTGCCTCCAGTCATTAGTCTTGTTTATAGCTACTATTGGGAGTAGCTCTGACCTGATCTACTATTTGGTTTTACTTCTCCTCCTCCTCTTATCAGGAGATGTTGAACTCAATCCTGGTCCTATAACAGGTAAACATACACTTAATACAACACTCATTAACTGATACACTACTGCAGGTAATCCAAAGGATATATTAAGGACTCATTCTGTTAAACTCACTGATGGAATCTCACAAGATCTTTACAAAATAACAACTGAATTACATGCTAAAGGATTGATACCACAACATGCAGTTGATGATGTACTTGTAATGGGAGTTATGACTGATTATACTAAAGCAATGAAACTGATGAGTGTATTACGAGGACAGTTGGAATCCTCTCTTGAACCAGAGCAGTATCTTATTAATATATGTCATGTATTAATAAACCAACAACATCGTACACTAACAGATATTGCTACCTCTATATTACACCAGTTAGGTGAGTGTGTGTGTGTGTACATTATCAGTGATCAATATAGTCATTATATCTTAATACATTAGGTCAGTCTATACCTGATAATGTCACATCCATTAGCTCAATACCTGATGATGTTCAAGGATATGTTGACAATATGAGACAACACTACAAACACCAACCTATTGTTGCTACAGACTGGCCACCAAGAATTGGAAAAGATTTCTTTGGAAGACTAGCACTAGTAGAAAAACAAGACTCCAGCACACAAGCAGAATCAGCTTGGCATATGCTAAGAGGACAAGTAGATAAAACAGTTAAACTAACTGGAAACAAAGAGATAAGTGTTGAAGATGTCCTCCAACCCACAGATAGTTCTCTGTCTCTCAGAGTAGTAATAGACGGTCCTCCTGGTATTGGGAAGACCACACTCTGTCGTAAACCGTTAAATATGTGGTCTAATGGACCACTTGTACACCAACAGTATGACTTGGTACTTTACTGTCCTTTAAGGAATAGCAAGATAGCTACAGCTACTACACTAGCTGACCTGTTTGTGCGTCAACGTTCTAAAGTTCCCGTGGTAGCTGAGTGGTTTGAGAAGAGGAATGGAGAAGGATTACTGATAATGTTTGATGGTTGGGATGAACTAAGTGAACAACTCAGACAGTCTTCATTAGTTGCTAGTATCATTTGTAAAGAGAAGTTAGACCAATGTTCAGTAATTGTTACCTCTCGTAGCTATGCCTCCTCTTCACTTTTAGAGATCATGTCTAATCTCAGTAGACATGTTCAGGTCATTGGGTTTTCTAAGGAAGAAATATCAACAGTAATTATACAAACACTTCAAAAAGATACAAAACTAGCACAAGAACTCATTGATGAAAACACTGAACAAGATGAAAGGATAAAATCAATAACTAATGCAAAATACAAATCACATTTCACAACTACTCAAAGCAGTAAGGACTCACAACTAGCAGTGAAACTCATTAATGATCTTGAAGTACTAAATGATGTCCAATCATTGTGTTATGTACCACTAGTCTGTTCCATGGTCATCTTAGTTTATTGTCAGGAAGGAGGACACTTACCAACAACACTCACTCAACTCTATCAAAACTTTATCCTACAAACTATCAGAAGACATGTTAAAAGACATGACATTAACCCACATACTTTAGGTAGTCTTTCTTCATTACCATCACAATTAGCTAAACCTTTACAAGAGATGTGTCAAATAGCTTATACTAACCTGGCTAATACAAGAATGACATTCTCTTCACATCAACTACAGTCACTGAGTGAGGCAGTCAAGGAAGACTGGATTGATGACAGGATTCACAGAATATGATGAGGAGAAGTATCAGTTCCTTCACTTGAGTATACAGGAATTTCTAGCTGCATGGTGGATAGCTAAGCATGAGAAGAAGAGAGAGGAAGTGTTTAAGGATCACTTTGATGATGATCACTTTCGAATGTGTCTGAGGTTTGTAGCAGGTCTAACTCACCTTGAACATGAGAGCTATCAACAGTATTTTAATGAACAACAACTTGACTTACA